GAGCGGGGGGGGGAGCTAGCAAAATAGTAGGATTACTCGAAAAATGATAGAAAATGAAAGAATAACTACCTTATTTGGGGGGGAGCTGGGGGGGCGGGGGGGAAGCAAAACCTTGCTTTAACTTTTACGACTATATCATATAGGAAGATATATATGGAGATACCAGAAGGCTTAAACTGGATAGACCAAGAATGTCAGAATAATGTCTGTAAGTTGCAAAAGACCTTGTACGGTCTGATGGTGAGTTCTAAGGCATGACATGAAAGATTTTCGAAAGCAATAATTAAAATGAGCTTAAAGTCACACGTTTTGAAATTCATGTCTGTTTACTCGGCACAAGGCAGATAAAATTCTAATGTAGGTTTTATATGTTGATGATATGGTCATTGCAAGTAATGATTCTGGTCGGTTAAAATCTGTTAAAGAAAGTGTGCAAAGTTAAATTAAAATGACGGATCTTGGTGACGTAGAATTTTTACTGGGCATCGAAGTAAGGAAAGAAAGAAAGAAGCAGGCTTTAACCTTGACCCAGACTTATTATATAGATAAAATTCTAAGTAAAATTTTAATTCGAAAACTCGAAACCCATAAGAACTCCCATGGTAACTAGCCATGTGCTGAACCAACAAAGAAAATAAAGAGAGCAATCTAAAAGACAGAGTGACTTACAAGAGACAAAATCAGAAGAAAATGCTTCTTACCGGCAAGCTGTGGGCAGTTTATTATATGTGGCTCATACTGTACGTTCTAAAATTAGTCATACTGTAAATGTTCTTAGTCAACATCAAATTAATCCAACTGTTAAAGACTGGAACGTAGTCAAAAAGATTACTTCAGTACTTAACTGGCACTAAGTACTCTCAGTCTGAGGTACTTAGAAGGGCAGGCAAACTTTGAAGAATTTTTAAATGCTAGTTTCAGTGATTGCATGATTTCTTTGACGATGAGTAAATATGTTATCAAACTCTGGGAAGACCCTGTTGTTTGGAAAACTCACAAGCAGACTTAGGTAGCGTTGTCAACATGTCAAGCTTAATACATGGAATAAAGTTAAGCTTGTAGAGATTTAATATCAGTGGACGATTCTCTTAAAAACATCTTAAACAACACTAATTGTCTAGCTGACCAGTCATGCGACAACAAGGCAGCTGAACTAAATTCAAAAATAAATGGAGATGAGAAATTAAAACATATGACAGAAATTCATGAAAATTATTTCAAGAGATATGAAACTTATAATCAGGTTAATGTCAAATGGCTAAGTACTAAGGAACATACAGCCAACATTTTCATAAAACTGTTACCAATCAAGCTTTACTAAAAATTCAGAAACTACGATTTTAATGAAGTCTGTAATCAAAATAAATGATTATTATGACCCATTTTGTTTTACATGAAAAGTAAGGCATTAACCGGATGACTGTGACCCTTGGCTTGCTTAAATTTACATTACAGTTCCAAGCAACTTTTATAATTAAAATAATCTACATCAGTGAAATCCAATTATGTTGCGCGTACATGCTACATTCAGCTCACTGTAAAAGTAAAAGTCAATTGAGTCAGTAAAGTCTGCTTGCTAACGAAAATTTCTTTTGAAGTTATAACTAACTTATAAATAAAAAGCAAGATGGCAAAGAACGTAGAATCAGGTCCTCTAGTGACTCCGGAGTCTTTTACCAGTTGTAAAGAAAAACCTGAATCAGGAGTGTGTGTATACTGACTGTACAGTTTCATGTATCACATAAGATGTGCGGGAAAAAAAGTAAAAGGCATCAGAGGTGTATTTGTGTTGTGTGGATGTAATAAAAGTATGACCTGTAAATTAACAAAATATACGAAGTTAGATAAGCGAGCAGATAATATAGTGTGCAAAATAATAAAAATCTAGACAAATGTATTAGTAAATTAATGATTATGAATAAGAAAAATGAACAGCTAAAGAAAGAGAATTAAATTTTAAACGTTGAAAAAAATAGAGACACTATAACACAGGAAAATCATGGAGAAAAACGAAAAGATTAAAATAATGAGGATGAAGACTACGATACTCTAAAAGAAATTAAAAGACTACAGGGAAGTAACTTTTTACTTAAGAAATAAAGTAAAGAGCTAAAGAAAAAAGCAAACTACTACAACAACATAATAACCTTATAAAAAAGGATGGTATGTATGCACAGGTACTAGGAACGTCTTGTAGTTTTCAAAATAGTGATCAAAACAAAGCACTCATGAGGCCTATAAAAAAAACAACAGAAATAGTGATGCAAAGTGATGATAAAACAAAACAGATAAAATATTAAAGAGCATAAAATTTAAACTAAAAGAAAAAAAGATATCAAAGTTAATTTATTTAAAAAAGTGAATAATGAAAAAATAGTTTTAAAGTGTAAAACAGATAATGAGATGGAAACGGTGACAAAAGAATTGTCTGACATAAAAAATGCGAAAGTTGTCTTTAAAAGGCACAAAAGTCTATTGCTCAAAATGATAGGAGTGAATATGTCTAATAGTTTGAATAAGGATGAATTACGAAAAAAAACTATGTGGAAATAGTAGTAAACGGGAAGATAATGTTGAAATTAATCATATTTTTAAATCGAGTGCGCAAGGATCTTCAAATGTTATAATAGAAGTAAAAAGAAGTGCATACTTGACTCTGATAAGTGATGGACATGTATACTAGGTGTCATAGATATAAAGTCTTTGAAAAGTATCATTTAACGAGATGTAGAAAGGGATGAAAATATCTTCATGCTATAAATAAATGTGATCATGCACTGAAATGTGCAAATTATGCTGGAGATCATGAAACTAGTAACTACAATAACTCTGAACATAATGCTGTAAGAGCTTAATAAATTTCTTTAAGCAACAGCGACAGATAAACAATATTAACTCCTAGGTGATATGAATATGAATGGGCTAAACGGTGAGAAGGTAAAAACATTGAAAAGTATATTTTTCAGGAACAGTAGATTTTATTGTTGAAATATCGCCATTTTGGATCCTTGTTGGATCCTCTAAATTTGCACAAAAATTGTTCATGTGCTTCATTTTATGATTAACAATTAGTGACAAAAAAAGTGTTTTTTTCTCTATTTTCAGTAATATCTCCGATCCTCTTATTTTTTAGTATGACATGTGCATATCGAAAGTTGTTCCTTATAAAATTTCCTAAAAAATATGTACTAAGAAAGGTTGCCAACTAACATTTTTAACCTACAAATAGCCTTTAGAAGTTGAAAAATATTTTTTTTTACTTTTTTTTTTACTGAAAAATGACTGCACATGGATGGCTGAAAATTAAGAAAAAAAGAAATTTATATTTACCTTAACATGCTTAAATAATTGTAGCGTCATTGGTTACTTACATTTCCAGTTATTATTGCTAACATTTTTTTTCTTTAACTGTAAATTGCGCCATTTTTTCAAAAACGGGCTTATACAATTTTATATTACTTGTGAAGGAGTAAATTAACAATGTTGTACATAAATTTATTTGCTTATAGAATTTTAATAAAGACTTTACTAAGTGTGGATGTTACGGACTTTGTTTATAATTTAAATCAAAAGCAAATTTATGAAATAAAATATTAAACTAAAAAAAAATCATGAATTTGATTGTTAGATCATGAAATAACTGTAGTAAAAATCATCTTAAAATTGTAAGCGTTGCAGATGTTTTTAAACTTATAAGATCTTATAAAAAATTTTAACAAATTTAAAAAAAAAGTTTTTTTTTAAATAGTAATTTTAC